GCCCTTGTGTGCCAGACACTATGCTAAGGGCTAAGGAGTCAGTGGTGGAAATGGAGACACGGACTCCACCTCTACACAGTGTATACATTGATATGCGACTGAACCAGATTTTATTTTATTTTTCCCAGTGGAAATCACAGAGGCCAATACTCCGCTTAACAGTAGATGTTTAACACACACTTGTCCGCGATAAAGTGATATGAAGTATTGTTTGATAACACAAAAGGCACTCAGAGCACATCTAGTCCAACCATCTTGCTTAACAGAGGAAGAGCCCGAGGTTCAGAGAGGACAAATGACTAATGAGAAGGAAGTTGAATCTAAGGCCTGTTTGTGAGACTGGGTCCAGAGGTTCTTCCACTGAGATCCAGTAGCTTTCAAAAGCTGCGGGGTTAATTAGGACGTAAAGCCACCTCCATTATTTAACTCCTGATGACACTGGAGATTGGCCGACTTCTTTGCTCCAACTGCCTCCACGTAGCGGTTCTCAACCCGGGCTCATGTGTGCACCAACGGAGAAGCTTTTAGAAAGGACCGGGGGCTGCCTGTCCTACCTCCCAAACCTCTCTTCCATCTCCTCACCCCTGCATTTCCCAGCCCTCTCTCTGAGTGAGATGGGTCTGCGGAGAACAGCCAGGGCCCGGACACGAGGGCTTTATGTAGTTTTGGTGCTGGGAGTTCATGGAGACGGTCATTTATAGACATGTTTACTACCTCAAAGGCGCAGGATGGAGAGGATCTGGGAAACTGAGAGTCAGAGAAAGGATGGCCAGCGCTGGACCCATCCATGCAGGTGCACACCCCAGCGAGCGCCTTGGCACGGGCCTGTCTGATGGGGCCCATGGGGCCACTTTCCTTGGCATGGTGCCACCTTCCGCAGCACAGTGTTCAACAACACAGTGGCCTGTCTGCTTCTCCCCTGGCTGAACAGGGTCTGGAGAAATGGTCTTTAGAGCTCCTGTCTTGCTTAACATGTGTTTTATTCAAAGGAAGATGGGAAGGTCTGAGACAGTGGAAGGCTTTGGGCCAAGAGGCCTTTTAATAATCCGTGTCCAACCCTCTCAGCCTCGGTCCCTCCACAGTGGAGCCCAGGCGGCCCAGGTCACATATTACTGCTGTTAACGCAATGGGTTCAAGTCGAGGGACCACAGGACATGGCCCAGAGCCTTTCTCTTGCTGGTCTGATTAGAGGCCCAACCTTCCGCCGAGATCTGATTCAGGCCGGCACGCAGACAGCGTGGCTCTGCGGGGCTCCCAGAGGGTACCGGGCTTCCCAGCACAGAGGCGCTTGGAGATGCACCTGCGGGGACCTGACCGTGTCTGGAGGTGCCCACAGGGGAGGGAGAGGAAGATGTGGCTGCAGGGACTTCTGGCCACAAACTCTGACAACTCACATCCCTAGGAGAATCGCTGCCGCTGGTTTGAAAAACAGCTTCGAGCGGATGTCATGCTGACGGTAATCAGATTTAAAATTAGCCCAAATGTGCCGGCATCAAAGAAGCTTTAATTGCAGAGTCCAATCAGGAGACAAAACACTCCAGGGACAGTTTTGCTGACAAAGTAATTCGAAGGGTGAAAATCTTCCCCGTGGAATCGAGCGGGTTTTGGGGTCGCGGACGCCTGTCCATTCAGGCCACCTCCGCACGCTCCAGCTTTCCGAGTGAGCACTCATACATGTAGGTCCATGAGATATGCCTTCTCCCAACGCCGGGAGCTCTCACCTGGTGGCTGGATACGGCTTGTGGGGTGGGGAGCCCGCTGTGCAGCTGCTCCATGGTCCTGGGCAAGTTTCCCTCTCGGAGCCTCCATTTCCTCCCTTGCAACAGGAGGGAAACAAGGCCCACATTGAAAGACCATCAAGATGTTTAAGATAAATAAAATATGCGAATCCGTTTTTGTTTCCTTTCTTCTTCCCAAACCCAAATGGCTACGGGTGCCCTTAGCCTCCATGTCCCTGGGGACACTGCTGCTGAAATTGCTTAAGGATATGGGCCCTTGTGTTTGATGCCAGCAGGCAGACTCCCACCCCTCTGTCCCCATCCCCTGTATCTCCAGTTCAGCAGTTCTCAACTGGGAGGATTGGAGACACGTCTGATTGTCACAACTTGCCTGGGATGGGGTAGGGGACAGGCACTACTGGACTCTAATGGGCAGAGTACAGCGATTGTGCTCAACCTGTCACAAAGCTCAGGACAGGCCCCCACTTACCGGCCCTAAGGCAGTAGTGCCAAGGCTGAGAGCCCCAGCCCCAGCCCCAGGGGAGGCTTTTGTTCTCACCTGAGTGCTTTGAAGGTGAGGAGTGTGCCTTGCACTCCTCCCTTTCTCATAAGGGGTTTGAGGAGGGCTGGGAACACACACAGAGGGAGGCTCCCATCACAGCGGGAGGGAAGACAGGTCTCCGTCAGCTTGGCTTGGCCCATCTTCCTTTGCTCTCAGGTCTCCAAGTTGGGCTCTTAACATTCCCCTGACATCCTGACATCCTGCAAGGTCTCTTTTTCGTTTTCTTTCACTTGAAGTGTTGCCTTCAGGTTTTCCCCATTGGATACATGGGATTTACTTAAGTTTTTTATCTTTCTCATCAACTAACATGGACACAGAGAGACGTACTCATAGAGGCACCCTGCTGTGTGACTGGCCAGGGGACTTCTCCGGAAGTCACGGAGAGTGGCCCCATGAAATAAGATGCCAAATACTGGACGCTAAACAGAATCACTGGCTGAGACTCCCAAAGAAACCTGGCTACCCTGAGGGTGAGTCTACGAATAGACTCCTTTTCCCTGGCTGGTTCCATTCATTTGGTGATACAAATACCTGTCATCTACAGTATATTCTCAACTACATAATATCTAGACATCTCTCACCTACATCTATTTATCATCTACATCTATCTATGTATCTATCCATCTACCTATCTATCAGAAATGCCTGGGAGGAGAAGACATTAAAATATTAATGATGGTTATCTTAATTAGAGAACATTTTCTTCCTGTGCACATGCTTCTGAATTTCCCACATTTTCTATGAGTATTTTATAAATTGAGAAACAAAGCAAAACGCATTATTTAAAGGAGAATTTAAAGAGCCATCTGGGCACGTCTGCCTGAACCGCACACCCTGAGGATTTCTCCTCCGTGCATTGCAAGCGAGACGTTGGCAAGCTGCCGCTCAGATAGACGTGCCCAGCGGCCCAGCTGAGGGATGCGTCCGGGGAACAGCTGCTCCAGTGATGACTGTATTTGGGGATGGATGGATTCTTGGTTGCTTTTGAAATGACTTGAGCCAAATGAAATCGCATGTAGGCCTGTTTATTTCTCCTCAGTCTACTCCCAGTAGGTGCAGGAAATAGCCCCGCAGCGGGCAGAAGGAATGACGGACGGGCTCTGTTCTCAGAGGCGATCTGCCTTGGGCACCTGCTCTGGGACCCAGCGTGTAGCGGGCTAGTGCGGTGCGCGGGGCTGGCCCGGCTCCTACTCCCCCGCTTTGCATTCTGCGGGAGAGCCCGTGGCTCTTTTCGCAGTGTAAGCAGAAAAATGCAAGGTGCAGTCTCAGAAGCGATGGCCTCGCTCCTCCAAGAGCCACCAGTCTGAGGGGAAGTGCCGGGAAGCTGTTGATGGGAACAGCCGTGGGTGCTCCTGACACAATGGCACCTGCTGATGAGGTGAGCGGGCGGCTCTTTGTTGCACTAGGAGCATCGCCTCTCAAGTTCTAGGCATGCGCTTCAGAGTCTAACCTTCTCCAGGAGCTATCCTGGCAGCTTTTGAGGACCACAATGATCCCCCAAGTGAGGATCATTAGCCACAGACGTTAACGAAGAGCAAATATACAGGAAGACAGACCACAAAAAGCTGGAGGACTCCGGGGAAATAAATCAGGTTTTCAGGGCACTTTGAGGGCAGAGTTTTCTTAGACCTGGTGACCTGGATGAGGCCTAGGGATCCGGGTGGAAAAGCTAGAACTGAGACAGCCGAGGAGACTGGCTCAGGTGTGAGCCCAGCAGGTGAGGCCTGGGCAGGGCCACGGCAGGGACTGAGGACCCCGAGAAGGCTGGGTGCAGGGCACAGCCACAGGGCTGACAGAGAAGCATAACATTTTGGAGATGATGGAATCCACTAGCAACATGTGATGGCCTGCTCCCCTGGATCCAAATGTAAGACCAAGCCCGGATCACAGAGATGATTAGCGTAAGTATCAGAGGCGAAGGGCCACCACTAAGGGGCCTTTTGAGTCAGTACTGCCCAGGGGGTCAAAGGAAGGTCTACTCAGGCCCCGGCCCCACTCCTTCCTTACGGTGTGACCTTGGCGAGCAACCTGAATTCTCTGAGCTTTGAACTTCTCATCTGTGAAATGGGTAAGACGGCCAGCCTCCTGGGGAGGGAAGTATCATGAACAGGGACATTGAGCTCACTGCCCGCCACCAGGTGGTCAGGCTGTGGCAGCCAGGACCACACAGGGACCCCAATAAAAGCCAGTTACAGAGATTTCCCATCATTCCCGGCGCTACAAGGGAGTACCCTCAGCTCTGACCTTGCTCCCGCGTGCCTGTGGGTGGTGCCTGACTCCTGCATGTTGACTCAGTTTCCACGTTTGGCTCTTCTCCTGCAGGTTGGACCACTGATCCTGGGTTTCCAGGTAACACCCAGGGTCTGGCTCAGTTGTTCAACACCCAGCACTCCCACAGGGGAGGTGGGGTAAGAGCGCGTCACGGGCAGGAGGCCACAGGGTGAAATGAACGGGTCACATTTTCACACAGTGGGTCTGATGTTCTCTGAGTTGAGATGGTCCTCGTAGAAGGAACACCCTTTATCGACGCTCAGACCCTATGGTGACCGAGCAATGCTCCCCAGGCCCCTAAGCCAGTGCTCCTTAGAGTGAATGTGCACACGAATCCCCTGATTCTGTGGGTCTGGGGTGGGGCCAAAGGGGCTGCATTTCTGATGGGCTCCCAGGCAACTCTGACAATTGAATAGCAAGAACATAAGTCACCACATCAACACGCCAGCTCCCCAACTCATCACAATTAATTTTATTCCACAGCATGTTTAAGGGAATGTTATTCTCAGGGAGATGTCTAGGATGAAAATAATTAAAAAGACTGGAAAGTACACACATTTATGTATCTCTTCTTTTCATTAAATATATATCTGTTTGGCAAAAAAATGTTAGACTCTTTTGTACAAAAACAAAGCAAAACAAAACAAAAACAACAACCAGCCAACCCAAACCCTTGCAAATTGTCAACACCTGTAATAACTACAGTGATGTAAACTTGATGTCTGACACCTCCACCATCTTGTGGAACCTGTGTGGCAGCAGGACCCGCCCCCCGGGAGAAGGTGACACCAGACACGCAAGCAGTAGCCGTCTGTCACAGAGGCCTGTGGGTGGCAGGGGCCTGTGGGTCGTGGCTGTTAGAGATGGAGCATGACAACTGACTTCACCTTTTGTGCTTTCAGCTAAGGGGCCGGGAGGGCGTGTGGACACGAAGAAGGCAGGTGCGGCTGGGGCAGGGGCAGGAGACCCAAGACTAGCTGGTGAGGAAAGGAGGCTGTCAAGGTCACAGTGCAGACATGGAGTGGGCCTGGGGCCTGGGGACTGTGTCTGGGGCCCCAAGGCCAGTGGGAACTAGGATGAGAGGCAGCTGCTGCTCTTGGGACCAAAGAGGAACAGGGCAAGGCAAAGGCTGGGCTGGAGGAGGGAGCGGATTCGAAAGCAGATTTCAATTCAGACAGAATGGGCGGTGTGAGCTGACTCTGGAGAAGGGGATAAGGAGGCCGTGTTGGGTCTTCTCAAGTAGTTGGGCTGTTTCTTCCAGACACAAGCCTCGCGTGGGGCCCTCCCTTGGTCTGGCGGGCTGGCTGGGGGCAGTCAGGAGCTGCTGGCTCCCAGACGCCAGGAGGGGAGGCCGTGCCTGCTGGGGTGCGGATGGAGGGGCCCTTTGGCTCTCTGACTGGTGGTGGGACTGCTCTTGTCCCACCATAGGCTGCAGCAACGGGAGGTGACCTAAAGCAATGGCGTCTAGAAACACGATCAGGGCGGTGAGCTAGATGCCAGGTGGGGGCAGAAAGACAGCAGGGCAGGTGAGGCCGGAGGAAGTGTGGGCCGCGCTTCCCTTTGCCACCGGATCCCAAGGCGTGGCCTGTGCTCCCTCTTCTCCCCTGCTGGCCGCGGTTTCCAGTTGTGGAGGTGGGGGGGCTCGGGGCCGGCCGCCTCAGTTGCAGTCATAGACAAAGTCATAGTTGCTGGGCTCCTTGGGGATGGGCGGGGGCGCGTCGGGGATCTGGATGTTCTCCAGGTCCAGCAGGCGGAGCTTGATCTCCATGCTGAGCAGGGTGTCCAGGTCGTTCCGCGTCAGATCGCTCAGCATGTCCTTCCCCAGCAGCGCGTTCAGCCCGTCCGTCCAGATGCAGTACTGGTGGGAGAGGAGGGGACAGTGACCACCACCGGAGACGCCCGAGGGCAGCAACAATCGCTAACACCGACTACTCCCCAGGCGCTGGGCTCCGTGCTCAGCGCTTTGCCCGCATCACCGTTTAAAACATGCACAACGGCTGCGTCAGGTGGCCCTTCTGCTCCTGTCACTGACTGCGCACAGTGGTATTAAAACATGTACAATTGGACAGGACTCGTGCTCAAGGGTTGCTACTTAAGGAACAGGGCGCAGTCCCGGAAGCAGTAACCCACTGCGGGAGGCCACACCTGGCACCTCGGGGCCCGGCCTGTTGGGAGGTCTCATGGACGTTACTTAGCCTCCAGCGGCTCCGGGAAGCAATGGGAATGGCCAACGTTTACAAGCTCCAGGAGCGAATGCACAGACCCTTTCCCTTCAGCCACCGTTTGTCTTGAAAACCCAGTGACACAAGGAAAAGTCAAAACCTTATTAGCTACAGCCCTGAACCAAAGGCCGGAGGCCATTAGGCTGTGGTGGAAATAGGCAGAACTACTTGGGAGAGGAGCGATATCCAAAGAGGATCTCTTTTGAGAGAGAAGCGCAGTGTAACTCCGAGAGTGCCCAGCAGCGTCCTCTGAGAGTCT